AAACTTCAGTGATAGATTATTTGGAATCTACCATACGTTATGAAAATTGAATACCTATGAGGTCGACGTTGCCTCAATAAAACCAAATTGAAAAGAAAAAATTGATTTAGGTGCTTTTATTGCCTTTTCTATGCAACCGTGGGACCACAATAAATATTTATTGACCAAAATAAACATTTGTTTACCTGAAGCAACAGCTTCACCCTCTCTATGGGTGCAACAGCGGTTTTTGATATTGCTGCTGAGGCACCGCCTATAGCGAGATCTATGGCGAATCTCCCTACATCACGAGGGTCTCGAGGGCGGACTGGCCGCGATGTCCGCGACATACTGAATACAGTTTGAATCAAAACAAGCAAAAATAACCTGATGAGAGAAGTGAACGGACAACTGGACAGCTGCGATGTTGTGAGAGCTAAGTTTCGCGAAAACAAAAAACTGGGCGATGTGAAAAATACTTCCGGGAAAGCGCAGGCGAAAGAATGGTGACGGTGTGAAGTAGTATTTCAATTCTTCCGAGAAGAGATGATTAACTTCCGAAAGAAAATCACTAAAATGCGAGAAAAAATTATATGTAAGAAGCCATGAGATGAAGAGTTCAAAGTTTAAGTGCCTAGAATCTGGCTTGTAAGATGGCTGAGATTCTGCAAGTAAGCTATCGAAGGCAGTGTCTCGACAGGAATTCGTTTTGCAGTTTTTCAACTTTTCTGAGGCTTCTCGCCATGAGAACCCATATCTGGGCTTTTCGGCGCTGAAAAAGGCGAAAATGAGCCTTTTGCAAAGCTTTCCAGATCCTCATTCAGTGAAAATACGCCGGAAGTCTTCCGCGCCCCGTTCCTCGTCTCGGACCCCGCCCACTTACACGTATTTATTACCGCTGAATGCGAACCTGAAAAGCTTCGAGAAAGGCTCACTTTTGCTCTCTTCATGCGCTGAAAAGTTCAGATATGGGTTCCTTATGACGAAAAGGCTCAGAGAAGTTGGATAACTGGAAAACGAAATTCTGCGGTGACACTGACTTTGACCTATGATAACCAGAATTGGGCTTAAACTAACTTGCCCTAAAGATTTGATATGAAAAGAGCATATCTGCTAAAAAGATAAAGAACATCTGCCCCCTTTGAAAACTGGTTCCAACACTCACGGTAAACAACATCGCTATCTACTTATCTATTTATCCACAGCTGAAAGTTATCACGATGCCCTTTACATACCCGGATTGTTTCCCATCATTCGAGTCAAGATTCGCTACTTATAGCCCATAGACGTGCAACATTAAAACAACAGAAAATGGTAACTTCAACAAGTACTGAAAGCCCTAATCACAAGTACTGAAAGCTACCTATTCATAGGGGCATGAATTAGTGTTACGTCAAGTTATAAAAGACGTTCAGGCTTCTTGCAGATAAGGCAGTCATTAATCTTCCTCTGATATTGTATCCCTAATGAGGAAAGTAACAACAACAACAGCAATGAACCAAAAAGACGAATTATACATGCTTGAAAAAGTGGTTTCCTGAGAACGTAATACCTACGATTGGAAGAAAACGAAGAACAGTTGCAAAAAAAAACGAATTTAGAAAGAATAGGGCACACCCCTTATAATGGCTCCGTTCTACTATAAAATACAACCGTCAAATGTTGACCAAGTATACCTCTTCATCTCCCTCGCACTAGACATAACATAACCCAAAAAACAAAGCAGTAAAACTAACCTGACATTTTCACGAGAAACTCGCAGTTGCTCCATTGAAAATGAAGAAATTTCATGGACAAAATTGTCGGAAAATGCGCCGTCGTTCACTTACCCACGAAACACCAAACCTTACGGCTTCTAATTTGCATCAGAATTAAGTCCCTTTTTTTGAATTGAAACTGATCTTGGTGATTCTAGGGAGTTCCAATAACTGAGGGGTTGTTACTAAAACTATTAACTTCAATTATGTACAGGTGAGCAGTTGGAAGGCCTGCTGCCAGGCGTGGCATGGTGGTCTCTAAATTTGCAGCGTCTCGAGCATGTTTGTTTGCTCAAAACTTCTCCTTACTGAAAGCGATAAGGTTTGTTTGTGTTTCCATTTTATTCCTGCCGGAATCAGCTATCCCTTTTAAGGTCTTCCAACGTGAGAAATGCCATTAACGCATGGAAATCGCAAACCGTCCAGAGATCTTCCCTTTTGAAAGTGGGACGCCTTTCTGGGATTTGTCTCAGTGCATGGTGCATTCCTTTGCTCAGGTAGATACTTACTAGTTTATCTGGTTGTTCAATACTGATATCAGTTTACAGAGCTGCAGAATGTAGAAGCAGAGAAGGTGAACTTAGCAGAGCCGATCACCTGTATGAAGTGTATCTCACCAATAAAGAGCCTCCATTGTCGCTTTGGGATGTTTGGTCCCTAATCCGACCGTACTGGTTTTACTTCTTGGCCGCAGTTGTGGTAAGTTTAGATATAATAATTACAGTTCCCGAGACTCATTACCTCAAGATATTTCTTTTAGAGTGCAGTTCTTGCTGCTTTCGTCAACATACAGCTTCCTCTCTATCTTGGAGACCTTATTGACAAGATGGTGCAGATAATCAAAGGTGCGTAGTCTGAACTTGCCAGTATTTTGTATATGTATAACAAATCTTTTGTACTTACCATAATTTCTTTTTTCATATCATATTTTATATGTAAACAAAATGTTTATCTCCATTGCGGCTTCTGGAAAAACTGTGATCTTAGCATTCTTCTGAAAGTCTTCTGTTGAGAAAGCTACAATTGCTTTCTTTTGTCTGAGTCGCGCTAGCCAATGAGCCGTGCAAGTCCTGAGCAATGACCAAAACACGTCTAGAATGATAAGTTTTTCACTAGCTAAACATATGGCCAGAAAATCTTCCTTACACAAAATCTGATTTGAAAATCTTTATTGCACTTAACAGCGGGTCTAGGCGTGGTAGCGAATTTTGAAGGCAGTGTCCCGGCAGAATATCGTTTTCAGTTTTCTCACCTTTTTGGGGCCTTCTCGCCATAAGAAACCCATATCTGGCCTTTTCCACGCATGAAAGTGGCGAAAATGAGCCTTTTTCAAAGCTTT